AGGTGTAAAAGAAGGAAAAGATCATAGCAAACTTAACTATTTAAAGTGTGGGATACTGAGAGCTCTGAGCTAATGTTTATGTGAAATGATAAATTATCTACTGAAGCTGCACAAGTGCTCATACTGCTGCTCAAACCAAAATGACTCACAAATTCTATCACCAGCTTATGTTTTTTAATTATATTTAGAATGATTTAAAATATATGATTTATAATTCTATCATAAACCCAGGATAGATAAACTTAATCCACTATTTAGATAATCCACCAGCAATCAGGAATTGCAGGCTTGTCTTCAGGGAGGTTCAGACATGTACAACCGTGTATGAAGTACCATGACAGCAGTCTCACAAGGCACATGCATAAGGGGCCTCCTCCCATATAAGCAAAAAAGAGCATGTTCCCTGTGACTGAGCTTTAAGGGTTAATTGACTAATACATTTCATATTAACACCAAAAACCACCACAGAGGACTGACAGGCAAATGAAACATTTCAGTCAGATGTAGTGCCCGGAGCAAACAGTGAACTCTCTGCTTCAGATAACCCTAGCATCTGTGTATGTACCACAGAGAAAATGAATATATCAGTCTTGGGAAAAAAAATCTGAGAAATTCTCATGTCACCACTGTGTAATGCTTGAGCTTAATATTTTTCTTAACCAAAGAAACAGATTCCAGATCTTAGAAGTGATAGAGAAGACCACATTTCATTAAATTTTCTCTGATGAACAAAAAAAGTAAATCAAAGGCAAATAAAGAAGGAAAATTTTAGTGTGGTTCAATAAGTCTCTTTGAATACACAGCATTAATTACTTGGAAATACTTGAAATTGTTTAAATTTCAACATCTCGTCTACAAAGTAAAAGAAAATGTATTTCAGAAAAAAAGAGTATGTAATAGATTTGTGGCTCCTTCTGCTTTCAGAAATCCAAGAAAAAACTTCTACCTCAAAGTCTCTGCTGGAAATTCACAAAATTTGACAAATTTTGGCTGGAGCTTCCACATCCCATCCCCTCATTTTCTCACCATGTTTAACTTGACTTCAGCTTTTTCTTTTTTTTTTTATACTTTTGGCCAGTTAATGCACTTGACCAGACAGCTTCCATACATAGAAAATAATGTAAAAGACAAAATTAAAGTGAAAGAAAAAGCATTTCAAAATGAACAAGGAGTCTATATGTGCTTAATTTTCTCTGTGTCTTAATTTTGAATTCTTAGGAGTCTCCTCTTATGGTCCTAAAAAGATGCTTCAGACAGCTTGTTTTGCTAAAAGCAAAGCTTAGACAATTGCCTTTTGTAGTTACCAGAGAGTGGAATTTAAACATTGTTTATGGCCTTTACTATGGTAAGGACTTTTTTTTTTTTTTATTTTTTTTAGTGGTGATTGGCTGACAACATCAGCAAAATGAATCCTGTAACTTGGACAAGAGACTGAAAAGGATGTCTTCACACCTGATCAGGATGATGAAATGTTTCACCTGTAGCTGTTTTACTACTTTTCTGGCCCGTTTCTTAAATTGCATGTACTTAATGCAATCCCCTGCAAATTAAGAGCAACTTCATCTGGACAGTTAGCATGGGCAGCTCCGTAAGGACACACCTCCCATTTCAGAGGCTTAAAATCAGAGCCAAAGACTAATTTAGCCCATGTACATGGAGCAGCACTTCCAAAAGTTTGAAGAGAAGTAAGTGCCCCCATGCAGGTCAACTCCACAGTGCCTCCAATGTATCCAATATCCAAAAAAGGAGAATGAGGTGTCTGAACACATTATATACATCCATAAGCTACGGAAATCCTGTGAATCATTGATGATTAAACATTGAAACTCCTGTTGTGGTTTATTCCTGGCTGTCAACAAAGTATCACACAACCATTTTCTCACTGCCCCTCTGGGATGGGGGAGAGAATCGTCAGGGTAAAAGTGAGGAAAGACATTGGAAGAGGTATAGTAAAAGCCTTGTGCACATGCAAAATGCCGCAAGGAATTAATTCACCACTTCCCATGGGCAGACAGGAACCATTCCCAGGAAAACTCTCAACCACACAAAACAATGACTTGGGAAGACAAACGGCATCACTCCAAATGTCTCCCCCATTCCTTCTCCTTTCCCCTGCTTTGTACGCTCAGCACGATGCCATATGCTATAGGATTGTCCCTTTGGTCACTTGGGTCAGCTGTCCCAGCTGTGTCCCTTCCCAACTCCTTGTGCACCCCCAGCCTGTTCGCTGGTGGGGTGGAGCGAGGAGCAGAAAAGTCCTTAACTCTGTGCAAACTCTGCTCAAACTCTGCTCAACAATAACTGAAACATCCCTGGGTTACTAACCTGTGCCCAGCACAAATCCCAAACTCAGCCCCATACCAGCTGCTGTGAAGAAAAGTAACCCTTCCAAAACCAGCACAACTCCCAGATCCAGAACAAGACTGGTTAGTTGGAAAGCCTAGATGTTAAAAACATAAAAGCTATGCTCTACCTCATGTGCTCTGATCCATTTACTGTGTTAGATAAACAGCATTAATCCACACAAAGCTATTGTAGTGCCTAATGGAGTTGTGAATGACTGCTTTCTGATAGGTGAAGAGATTTCATGGGATTAGCCCTAATCAGGTACTTTAGGTAATGAGAATCTCTCCATCCATCATTGAACAAAGCCACACCAAATGGTTCTTTCCCCATATCTCAGCAGGGTTTGGATAGACAAAAACACAGATTAAGGTAATGTCTGAGCAAGGAATACTTACTTTCATTGGTTCAATAAATAATAAAAAACATAAGGACAAGTCTAACTTCATAGATAGTGCAAAGACACATTTACTCCAATTCAGTGCAAAGCTAAACAGAAAAATCTGACAGATTAAAAGAATCTGAGTTAATTCCTCCCATATTTTAGACATTCTTCAAATTGCGCAGTTGAGCAGTTAGTTTTATACATCCAAATTCATATTCCATTTAAATGAAAAGCAATATATTTATTAAAAGATAAATTTGTAAAAAAGCTTAATTCTGATCAATTTATTTAACATAGTATCTCTTTGTGAATATGTCAATTTATGTTATTGAAGGGATTTATTTTTTTAAACAGAGTAATACCAAAACTCAGGATGTAATATAAATATATAAAACTGAGCTTCAAATGTTCATGCAAACCACATACACATATACTGGATATCTGCTAAAACACACTAAAACATAATAACCTATTCAAAAATATTTCCTTTAAAGCAATTGCCTACATTTAATATTTAAGCCTTAGGGAAAAATTAAAGCAACAACACTTTTACTGCATAACATTCTCATAAAACATGGATGAGTGCTTCACTTCTGATACAACAACATGCATCAGGAATTTATTGTATTAAGGTACTAGCAGATCAGGGGACAAAGAAAATAATGTTGAGAAAGATGAGAAAGATGATTTGTTGATTAAAAAATAAAATAAAACCCCAAGCAAACCAACAACAGATTTTAAAATGAGTGCTATTATTGCCCTACATAGCCTTCAGATGTTATTGAAGATAAAAACTTTTCTCTAGCCCTATTTTTTACCTCTATGCATTTTCAAATCAGATAGATAAAGTACTCCCAAGCAAGCAAAAAGGGAGGAATCAGATCAAAGACAATAAAGCATGACAGATAAAGGCACAGCTATCTCATAATAATAAAACACAGGAAAACAATCCACTTTTCATCAGGTCATATGGTTCATGGGCTGTAGGAGCAGATGATATTCAGATACTAGCATGGAATTATAATACTGTAGGAGGCTTGAAATGGAATTAAAATACTGTAGGAGGCTTGAAATGCTAATTCATGCTAAAATTGTATATCTGAATAAGCCCCTCAGCTTAATCATTGAAATCAAGTTGAAACATGGGTCAACTTTTGCTATTTAAAAAAAAAAAAATTAAAAACTCCAGTGATGCCTTCATGTGAACTCATCACAGAAAACTAACACAGAATCAAAATGGTCTTGTGACAGCATTCTGGATATACAAATTACTGGTAAAATGGTAACTCAGCTATAGAAATGGCAGAGAAATTTTGGCCACTATCCCCTTAGACAGTAGGGTCCATGCGATCCATGGTTTTGTTTCTGATCACAAACTGTACTTTTGTGAATATTTGTTAATAGTATTGAAAAAGTAAACATATAAAGATTTTTTTAACAAGACAGTGTGTCTAACCAAAGAGTGTAGAGATACCTGTAATTTCACAGATTGTTTCAGAAAATTCAGGCTCCTCATAAAGGAGTATGATGACCCACAAAAAAACCCAAACCAAGCTATAAAAAAAATAGTCTAGAACCATAAAATACAAGTTGAAACACCACCAGAGGGAGAGTTAAACGCAGAATTATTTTTGTGCAGAAATGCAGAAAAGGTAGTGAACCCAATGACAAGATATGAAATGCATTAAAGAGAGACAAAACAGAGCTCTATGGAAATTTAAAACTGATATGAAGATGGAAATGGCAATGAGTATTAAAGCTGCAGGCAGGAAAATGAGCTAGCCTTTTTATGGGTTCACAGTGTTCTCTGTATTCCTGCTTGTAATTATACTCCAGGGTGGCAATCAGTCATCAGGAACATCCAAAAAGAGTAATATCCACTGTAATGGAAGTTATTCCATTCATACTTGTGTGATGAGCCATTTCCATGATCCAGAATTAATTTCTTCTACATCAAAAGTACTCAAATCATACCACACTAGTGTTTAAGCACAGTGAGACTCATAAACCTTAAGAATGACATTTCAATCACAGTTAAATAAAAGTCAGAGGGAGCTTAAGCTCATTTTTAATATGAGACATATTAACGTTTATTTCAAACACTGGCCTGGATATATTGAAAAGTAATATTCAGCAAAGGGAAGTCTTTGGAGAGGCCATGTGTTCTGTCTTGCTTTATAAGGAGAGGCATATCTAACTTATCAGACTGCTTATTAAAAAAAAACCCGACATTTTTCATTTATTCCTTTTTTTGCATCTCCTTAGCTCTTACCTTCCAGACTCAAATGTAAACCACGTTGAGTCACGTCCATATCTCCTCAAAGAGCTCAGAGGCCACATGACCAGCTTGACCTTGGCATTGTGGATGTCCCAGAGATAGATGTTTTCATGTGTGATCTGCATTGTACATTCCCCATAGATATCTAAGTTTGGTGTAGGCATAAGGTATACATTGAATCGTTCTGGAAAAAAAACACAAAGTAAGACATCACAGGTTAAAGTAAGATTTATACTGGGAAAAAAACCAATGAAATAAAGTCTTTAGTTCTGATGATCCAGAAATCAAAGCCAAATTTCTGGCTTTAACAGAGATGAGGATCCACTGAGATACTGAAGCAGTCCTGCTAGTGCATAAGAGAGGAGTAAGAGGAGAATCATCTTCATTTTGTTTCCCTTATAAATGATGCAGCAGTGTGAAACATCTTTCACAGATTATCTACACAGTCCTCTTGGACATGTGTTCCCAGCAACTTTACTGAAGTCCTTTTTTACCCTCACATTAAGGTCCATGACTCTTTAAAAATCAAAATCCTCAATGATGAGAACTTGACAGAGACTCCTCTCTCAAAGAACAGAACTGAAGGTATCCTGGCAAAATACGTATGTGCAGCCATTGCCTCTTAGAAAAGCTGTCCTTGAAATTACAAATCCAAGCTTACTGGTTGAAGTTTGTAAATAATTACATTCCTTGCATTGTTTCTGTTTATTTGCTAAAGTAATTCGTATTTTCAAAATTAATAACTATTTTAATCATCTCTTGCTTTCTTGAAACATCTGATTCAACATGATATATTATTATGGTCATGACATCAATCACTATCAGCTGCACTTTGCTTGCAAAGTGCACTTATTGCAGTAGGAGGTCAAGGGCATTAATAATTTTCTGAAGTGCCTGGATTGCATGGGATTTAATAAGCAATAAAAAAAAAAATTAAAAAAGGAAAAAAAAAGGAAAAAACCAAGGTGATTTAAAACACCATTACCTCATATGGAAGCAAGTAAACTTTATTAGGAAGAGAAATTTAAATAAAAATGCAATTTTCTTTTAAGAATAACTTATGTTTCTATGAGTAGCTTCTACAAAGAATGAAAAACTCAGTTAAATTTCTGGTTGTACAGTTGGAAGTGCCAGCCTATATTTTAACACTACATGCATTGCAATATTAGTGCTTAATAGCATCATATGGGAGAGTACAGTACATTCACAACTTTCCTGTCACAGTTTTTTTTTCATCTTTGAAATGGGTAAAAATGCAAAATGTCAATTCTACTGCCTGAAGGTGTTGTCAAAAAAAGGTAAGAACAAAGTATAAGCTTGAGCAATGCTTATACAATAACAATATTTGGAAAATGTTCTTTAGAGGGACAACTGATAGGAAAATTGCCTCTAATTACTTGATAAAGTGAAAAGGATTAAAGGGTAAAAAGGGTGGATTAAACTGAATTTTCTCACAGTATCCTCACAAAAATTAGGAAGGAATTTAAATTTAAGTGAGAGAAATTTACTGCAACACTCAAAATTAGCTTTCTCTTCTGTTTGAAATTCATTATCATAGGCATTGTGTCTCTAATTTTTAAACATTTGATATATATATATATATGTTTTTGACAAAACAGTTAAAATATTGCAAATGAGTTAATATAAAATATGTTACGAGTGTGTGTGATTTTGTGTGTGTGAATGAAGTGGCAAAAGTTTGAAGAATTAGAGAAATTGCTGGCTGAGCAATAAAAACTGCTGCATAGCTATAAGCAAACTTGCCATCCTCAATGTTGTTCTGTTTCAGTCAATTTAATTCTGTCCTATTAATGGCTCCTCAATTCATTCATTTAGTCACAACCTCTTCTCCCAGGCCCAAGTTCTCATTAGTCACACTAATGGGTTTTAGCCCTAAAAGTTTAATTTTATGACTAGGATCCCATGTGTGAAACCCCAGATATTTTGTGAAAGTCTTGTGACACACAGCAGAGGTAGATTAGCAGAGGCTGCTGAGATCCCTGAGGAGAATTTCCCCTAAGGCTCAGAGGAGTGCATGGGGCAGGGGTGTAATGTAATGCCTACTAAACTAAATGGAAGGACTCACACTTGGGAGTAATGGGTCAAAGACCGTATTGGGAAGGGAATGGTGGTGAACAAGATAACTTTCACTTTGCAATGCAATTATATATCTATATCTATATCTATGAATATGTATATACATCCTTTCAGTATCCATATGTCATTGGGATCATCACGCAGAAATCCTCGCAGCTGGGCAGGTGTACTTTTATCACATATTAGCTCCAGCTTTGCATTGCTGGGCTGTCAGTTATTGCCACTTCCCTCATCTATTTGAAAGCAAGATGCAGTAACTGGCCTGTCAGCTCTTTCTCTCTTGCATGACACGAAATAACACAGTGTATCTATGGGGGATGGGGTTACTATGTGAGAATGAAAATCTTCCCCCATCTTCATCAACAGAATGCCTCAGACAGCAGAGAAAATGAAAAGGTACAATTATTTTTTGAAGTTAACATTAAACTGCTGTGTGGAAGGCACAAAATACTTCAACTTGCTTTAGATGTTATCAGGTTAGTCATGAAATGCTCAACTTCTCTGATGTGTTTGAGGATATTATTGTATGAAGGGCATCCAGGACATATGGTATCCTCAAACTGTCAGGAGACATTTGCTGACTTTGCATGGGAGGTCAGTGTCTAAGGTGAGATGTCAGGGATTAAAGGAAGTATGTCTGATTAAAGTGAACATCAGCTCCAGGGCAAAACATAGCACCCTTGGAACTGAATCAAATTGGCAAGAAAAACAAGCATACAAACATATGTGCTGGAGAAGACTGAGGATGGATAGATTTACTTTTGGAACAAAACCGACACTTTTGAATAAGGGGCAGCTGAGGACATGGAAAGGTGTAGACTCTATTAAATGGTTTTATTAATTAACATGCAGGGTCAAATTTTTTCATTTCAGAAAATATTTGAGCAGGTATCTAGTTAATGACAATACAGTCATTCCATCTTTAGTGGCATGTTTTGCCCTTAAACTTATCCAGACAAAACCAAACATTCACCATAGGCCAGATTTGGGAATCCCAGCTGAATTCTGACACCAAATCTTCTGAATGACATTGAATAGGTTATTTTGCTTCTCTTTGGTTCAGATACCATCTGCATATGAGTAGGATGAGATAATAACAATCCATTGGCTAGTAAAACTCAGCAAATAGAAGTTAATAAGGGACCCAGAAAGTAGGGAGATGGAAGAAACCAAACAAGTAGATGTGATGTTTTGGGCAAGATAAGACTGGGACTGAACAGGAACAATTCCTCAGCACCCAGGATTCCTATTCCTATCACCCTTCTCTGAACAGGTGAGAGCAAAGTTCAGGGAATAGGGGAGCAAGGATGAGAAAAAATGTTGATATATTGCTACACTTATTATTTCACTTAATGTGACTGCTCTTTCCCATCTCCTTGAATAAGCAGAGCAATGCTTCATCATACACTTAGTGCATGTAAAGGTGTTTAGCATTTGGGCTTTGGCAAGAATATGACATTTAATAATGCTTTCCAGGCCATAGGAGCATAAGAGTCTTTATGAAAATGAGCATATTGACTGAGACAGAGACTTGGCAGCAACTCCAAAATGCTCTTGGCCTTCCAGCTGTACTGGGGGGAGCAAAATGATGGGAGCCCAGTGATCCTGATGCTGCCATTTTATCACTGGATTCCATTGGTTAAATCGTCCCAGCTGGAAAACCGACCAGATGACATTGCAGTCTTGCAGTCCAGATGCTTGGTTTCATTTCAGCTTTAATGATGGGTAAAAAATTACTTACAGAAGGTGACAGCCAAGTTGGTAGCACCTACAAAATAAGTAAAGGACTTGAAAGCAAATATTCAATTTATATGTGAAAGAAACTCCTCCGCCTGTGAAACTTTTGCTGCTGACCAACTGTGGCTAATTTTCAGGTGAAAAGAGAGCTTAAAGTCTGGAAGGTGCAGCATTTTGTGTTTATTCATATCTCAGGGCTATTAGAATGTTTCCCTTCTGCTGTATGCAGTGAGGAACCAGGATTTCGGAAGAATTTTTTTTTCCTTTGCTTATGAATATTCTGCTTTGCATTCATTAAAAATGTAAGCATCTCAATAAAAATATAAAGGTAGGTAAATACTTCAAATTGTTTCAGTGGTAAGTAGTAGAAGAATCTGAAGTCTCACTGGATTAACATTAAAACTGTAAACACCTTCCTTTTCTGAATAAAATTGTCTGTGTTTCACTGATTTAAAAAAAAAAAAACAAAAACAAACAACCAACAAACAAACCTATTGTATAAAAATGGATTACAGATAACAGAAGATGAATAAAAAACCATGCAGAGTGCTTTTATGTATTAAATTATAGATATCCTACAGACCCTAGAAAATGCCCTAAAACAAGTCAGCTCTGTGAATGTAATTGCAAAGTCTCTATGCTTTGGCTGTCGTTTGTAATCTCAATATGTAGCACAAAGAAATGCCTCATAATCCTCTTCTGAGGATTCAAGGACGTTGTTCACTATGAAAAGCTACATTTTTACTAACAAGAATTAATGAGTTTCTTGCAATTAAAATCCAGGAAGCAAGACTGCTGCTCCTGTGGAAGACCAATGAAAGAACAAAAACCTTACAAAGAAAGTAATTTTATTAAATACTAATTTAAATATTAGGCAGGGAGAAAAGCAAAAATTCAATTATCTTTCAAAATTTTCCAGACTTTGAAAATAAAAATTAGATTTATCATGGAGTAATTTTTTTTTTTTAAATTAAAGCCTCAAAACACATAATTAAAAAGCCTCATATTGATATCACAGGACTGAGTTAGGAGTAAATAAGATATAGCAGCAAAGGATGGATCTGGCCTTTTCTTCAGTTTAGAAATTTGCATTTTAACATTTGCCCATTTTCTTCAAGTTTTACATCAAGTTTACAAGTAGAGTTTAATAGAAAATGTTTTAGTACAAGAAACATTTAATAGAAAATTATTTAGTACAAGTATTCAACTATTTTAGTGCTATTATTTAGTATTTAAAACTGATAGAAATAGAATCTTCCCCAAAGAGATGCACCTGCTCCTAAAAATTGAATTTATTAATAGTCTACATATAATGCCTTTTTAACCAATATTATCTTGAATATTCTGATTTCTTTTTCACATTAAATATAGTCTGTTATTGTATATTGTCCATTTGGATGACATCTTTCAAATTGCTTCCTTTTATAAAGAATGAAAATAGTGACACATTGGACATACTATCCTTTGTGAGATGGAGAAATTCTAGATATGACATCACCTGGGATAATATAAATTAAAAAAGAACCCCAAAACCCCAAAATTTGTTTTTGTCATTACATTTTGGGGTGTATTGCAAATGCTTCCAAATGCATTGAGAGCTGGAAAGGAAGCTTCCAGTTCTTCCAAATGAAGTCAACACTCTACTTTCACAACTTCTAGCAGCAGCTTGAGAATCCTAAGGATTATGAAATGTGCATGAAAGAATCACAGCATATTGCTTAGAAGACTTGTCAACAGTGTAATCAAATCCAGCTTAGTCCAGATTTTCTTTTATGGAGTTATAACTGTGTATTATTACTTTTCTTATCATTGCATATAAAGCTTCACTGCCATTATATTAAATAAATTACCTGAATAGGATTCTGAAGTGAGGCCTCTACTGCTTTTGCTTTCATACTGTATTTTAATTTTTCAGCAAATAATCTAAAGGGAAGTTACTAAATGCTAGAGACCATGTTCAGTGTGAAAAGAAATTTGAACAGAAACAAGGTTGCTGCTATAGGGCTGAGGTACACCAACAAATCACTTAGATTTGCAGGAGAGAAGGAAAAATGGCTGGAGAGCAACAGAAGCTTCATTTCACATCTCAATTTAATTGGAATTTGTGCATCATTCCAAGTTAAGCAGCCATTAGTTGTGAGCCTTAAATTTCTAAAGAAAACCACCTAATAGTCATTTTCTGCAGCAGAGTTTGCACAGCAAGAGTTGTGGTAATACTTCTGGAAAGCAATAATGGAGCTGAAATCCAGTGAGAAGCTTCCTGTTACTGATGTGCTTCGCATAAGAGTAGCTTAGATGTCTTCTCTATCCTTCCTACAAGACACAGCAGCAGAGCCCTCTGCTAGAAGCAGGGCAGCTCTACAGTTTGCCTCATTTTGCTGCCACCACTGCAGAACTGCTCGGTGCTGGAGGCTCAAACAACATCTCAAATATGCTGAAACAGACCCCACTGGCACGTACTGACCAACCAGAGCTATAAAAGAATGCCTCTTTCAGGTACCTTAGATTTCTATTGTCATGTGACAGGTCTGCCTTGTGATTGTACGGCCTTTGCACACCAAACAAGAGTTTTGCCAGCCGTTGGAGCAATTTTGTTTGCAAACCATGTTGTTCCATTCCTGCCACAGAGAATCAAGTGTCTTCCCTTCTCAAATCTAAAGCTCATCTCAGAAGGACCATAAGTGCGAGACTGGGGGGATAAACAGGCTCAGAAATACTAAAAAAATGTGTTAAACAAATGTGAGAAACCGTGCAGATTTTCTTTACCAAGTATTTTCTGAAATTTAATTTTTTGTGTATAAAAATAGAAGTAGCAGGTAGCAATTTTAGTGGCCCCAGGGCATAAACAATAGCAATTATGAGAAATTATTTCAAATGTTTCAAACTGAGGGTAGTGGCTTTGGTGGTCACACCAGAAACTACAAATCTACACATCAGAAAGTTGGGGATTTTTTTGAGAGACAGCCAATTTATTTATCTGATATGTTTGGTGAACACCCTTACAGCATTAAAATGTCCTTTAAGAACAAGAATGGAGAAGTAGTTGAACACATGAAGAACACTGCATATTAAAAGTATTATCTTTTGGAAAAGGTAAAGCAGTTAATGAAAAAAAACCCACCTTATTAGGTTAGCTTTTCTAGTCCGAAGAAGTATCTTTACCAAATTTTACACTTTTCAGAAAATCTTTAGTGAAAAGTAACTATTTGAAGAAACCTCAGGGGAATGGGATGCAATTAATGCTTAATACACCTGTTCTTTTGGGATTAATGTATTAACACCTGTTATATCATAGAGATCTGAACAGTATGACACCACTATTCAGTGTCTTTTAGCCTTTAAAAGTGAAAAAAAATAAACATCCAAAACTGAAAACCCATTAGCACTATAATATTTTTTAGACTCTATGGTCTTGCTCAAACAATAAGAAATCTTTTGTTCAGTGACGTGAAAGAAAGCCTTTGTATAGGTCAGGCAACAGAACTTGCATAAAACTATATGCTGAGGCTGTGAGACTCTGTTACATGTTTTACAAACTGTATTCTCACATCTCAGTTTCAATAAATTGACTAACTCAAGAGAACTAACTCAAGAGAAATTCTATGAAGTTGACACACTTGCAATATGTTTTAAAGAAATGAAAGGTAGTACAAAGGTAGTACTCTGGTATTCAGCTTTTATGTAACACAAAAAAATAAAAATTACCCAGAGAGTGACACAGATGCTATTTTCACAAAGAGAAAGATTTTAGACATTTCATACACATAGCCACTGTCCATGAATTTTCAGTTGTAAAATTAACTTTGACCTTTCAGTTTCAGGGCAACAAAAGCTCAACAAGAATATTTATAAGCAAAAGTTCAGTACACTTTCAAAAGTTTTTGAGGTATCTTTTGAACTACTGTTTTTGATAGCATGTGTGTGTAAAACCTGCATATGGGCAAAATGCAAGGAAATAAACTAAAAATCTGAAATAATGTCACCCAAATCAACAAATGATTCCACCCTGGAACTAGTCACCTTCTCAATAACACTGTCACGTGGGGAATGACACTGCCAGGTTTGCAGGATAAGATAACCAGTGTAAACTGAAGGCATGGTTCCACTCAACTGAAGAAATCTGCTACAGGAATTTGAGTGCAACTGCAGGTTCTTACAGCACAGATAAATGGACAAAATGTCAAATTTCATACCTATAGTAAGAATCTCTGCACTTTTTCCTCCTTCTAAGTTGATTAAAAGACATCCACAACAGAATTTGTTTTGCCTCTGAACAAGACAACTTTGAATTTCAAACATGCTTATTAAAATGCAAAGTTGTGCATCAAGGGGATGAGGGAAGGATGAGGATAGGTATCAGAATTACTTGTTTGAGATACTGTAACTAATGATTTAGCAGAGCATTCTCGTCAAATATTGGATTATATGTATTCAGTCACTTGTTTTAAAAGAATGCAGCTAATGATACCCTCCATGCATTATTATTCATGTGATTTGTACAACAAATACATGCTTTGCCTCTTTGTTTCCTTTCGTTTATTTACTTAGAACAATAAAGGTGCTAATTATGGTCATATATGCTGGTTGGTAACACTGCAATTAATTTCTAGACTAAGGCAGTTGAATCAAGACTAGTTCATACAACAGAACTAAAATATGCCTCCTGGAGATCATGTTTATATAACTGGATCTCTTTCAAGAACATGATAAAATGTAATATTTGGCATCTATGTCCAAAAGCTGCTGGAGAGTACATGAATTCACTGGAGAAAGAGCTTGACAAATTTCAAACTACTTTTCTTTTCACATCCCAGGCTTTTTGACGAGGTTTATTTCCTTTCACATTTGTGAAAGACCTCCACCTGTTCACACAGTTCTCTCTTCAGTAGCATGCAGATGAGTTTTATACCTATAGCCTATGAACATATAGCAGATGGGGTGCTTTGAGTGCTGTCTGATCATTATCACTTTCCTACAACATTAGGAGCTCTCCCTTTGTTAAGTAGTTTGAGACTACAAATTGAATTCTGTGTCTCATAGCAGGTAAACAACTTTATGAACATTTGAACTTCTTTTAAATCCCATTTCAACATGTCTGCTTTTTGAACAGAATTCCTTAAAGATTTCTGTATATTTCATGCTGTGTGCTATTAGGTTCAGAGAAATAATATAATAAATACAGTGCCATACATTCTATAATTTAATTACGTAATTTTGTTTATAATGATAGCTGGCTTGATATTTTATGACCATTGAGGCAGGGTGTGTTATTACTTTGTTGAAAGCTATTGGATCTTATAAAAGCATCAAGACAGTAATAATCATTGAGAGCTGTAATTTAGGGAGGACTAAATGAGCACATTTTGTGTTGCCCTCGTGTTCATTAATAGGAATTAAATGACAGGGTAATCACAGATTTTCTTTTGTTATTGCCTATTCCATCCACTAGCATTCTTCCTGTGCATGTGTCTAATCCAAATAGCCTTTAGATGAAGACTTACAACTCAGGCTTAGTGCTGACTAACATCTGTCACTGCCCTTTTCACCCATATTTGACAGCATTTAGATGATCCTGACTTCAATATTCAAGAGGAGTAGGATTTTAAAGCAAATATGTGTTTTGTAGTTCATATTGCTGTTGGTATGTTCATCACTGTCCTTAAAAGGCTGCAAAACAACAGCTGCTGCTTTATTCCTCTGCACAGAAGCCATCATTTCCAGAAACAGAAGGGTCATGGCCATCATTTCCCATGACAGGGAAATCTGAACACAATTAAGACACAAAGTCACTCTATATGTATTATTTGGCATGGAATTTAATAATCTTTATTTGTAAAAAAAAAAAAAATAGGCTAGAGCTTCAAAAGCACATCCAAATGTTTAGTTACTAAGGATGTGCTTCCAGCTACTAGCAAAAGTCCTCACAACAACAAGCACAAGCAAAGATGAAACGGGATATTATCTAAGAATGGACCTAGGAGTAAATAAAAAGTTACTTACCATTTTGTTCTCTCTGGACTCCAGCAGCAAGCAAATCTGGTTCCCCAAGACTTATGTCATTGAGCCTGGCCCCTAGACATTCCATGCAAAGATGCTTGCACCACTCCTCTGCCTCTAGCTCTGAGAAAACAGAAAGAAATCCATTCATGTTGATATTGAAAAAAAAAAAAATATCAGTCAGAAAATATTGATGTAACTTCACAACTTTTTAGTGTGAAGTTAAATTAATACTTTCTGACTGACAAGGTTTATCACAATATGTTTGTGTTGAAACATGAGTTATTAGCATAAAGTCCCACAATAATTTCTTTGCCTCAATTTATAAACTTTTAAAACGGGTTACACTATTAGGACTGCATCTTCCATCCTCAAATTTGAGGATAGGAGGTGGAGCTAACAAATTTTCAAGGCAGTATATTTCTAGTGAGCCCTCTTGAAAGAAAAATGCAATTTACAAAAACTTCATATATAATAGCTGAAATGTTCTTTACTGCTTTTTAGTAGAATACTTAGTAGAACTCTGAACTCTTAAGGTAATTTCTTTTTCTAAAGGTGTTAGAGCATTTTTCTAAGACCAAACAAAAAACAGTTATAAAATGCTCTTCAAATGCCAAATTTCCCTCTCTGCTGTAGTGAAAGACTATGTCTGTCAAGGTATTCTGAATAATTAATTTCTTCAGTTCTGTTCACCTTCTTTTGGTCTCAGGGCAACTTGGTGATTAGTTGAAACATTTTTAAGAAGACTCAAAACCTCCCAATCCTTTCTGAGTTGACTTTCCCATCGATGCAATATGAGAGCTCTGTATCTGCCAGTCCACCAAAATGTGGACTCCACAAGGCGTAATTCCCACACACAACACAACATCCTCCCATTCAACTTCAGCTTCAGCCTATCCACTTCCCAAATTTAACATAATGAAATCCCTGGCATCGGTCAAACATGCATAATGTCAAGTTGGAGCTAACACAGTGTGAAACTACAACCAAGAAAAATCATGCAACCACCCTGACTATCTTTTATTTGCAGGAAAGACTTCACCTAAGGGAAAGTTCTTGGAGAGCAGGCTCAGCACCACACACTCACTGAGCCTCATGGTCACAGTCAGTCTCTATCTGATCATCTTTGACAGTGAGGGGGATCCAGTGATCTGGAAATGTTTGCATTAAACTGCCAGGTTTTCAGTCCTTTTTCTGGGGACATTGGGAAAATAATTTTGTGACAATCTCTCCAATGTACTGCTGAAACTGGGAGAGAGAAAAATACTGCATGCAAACCCCAAAGCATTTAGTGATGATGAATCATTTGAATTAGTGAAATTTTTTTATCTGAGAAAAACTCCTCTAAGCCTAATTGGTACAGTCCTCAAATCCTTGCCTGGTTAGACACAGATCTCATACAAACATTTGCTGGACAAGAAAGGGAGACAAGCATGCAGTTCCAGGTCTCCAAGAACCTTCAGATACCTTCTTCTGTTCAGTGTCTTGAATAATCCAGGAACAGATCCATATCATTCCTGAGTTATGCTGTCTACTAGCTAAGTTCCCAGCCAAACAACTGAAATAACAGAGCCTATTTTGGAATTTTTGAGAACCAAATATGGTTGGTGTCACAAGACTTTGGGGGTGCTTCTTTAGAGTGTTGTGAGGAAAGTGGTATCCCTTAACCCTTCCTGCTTTTTTGCAGTCTTTGTCTCAGGACACAGATTCCCAAAGTTGGTTGTCAACATCCTCACCTTCTAGTGGTAAGAGACAGAACATTTTATCGGTAACATACAGAAGACATTGAGCTTCATAGGTGAAAAGAAAATATTGAGGTAACAGGACACTGGTTTTTCAACACTGCCATGGATGCAGCCTCCCTGACAGAAGCAAGGAGAGAAAAGGCTTATCTCTGGACAGCAGTAAATTTTTACAGCTTTTAAAAGAAGGAAGATGAGTTTGTTCAAACACCTACTTCCAAAATTATTCTACTCATACATGAAGAAATTTCCTGTATATTTTCCCTTCCCCTCTTTCAGCGTTTGCCATTTCCTTGGATACTTCTGAGGTCTTTTGAACTGAAGCCACACCTTATAATCCCATTTTCCCATGGAGACAGTTTCATGCCAGGGACATAGATGATAGAACTGGACCCCAAGCCACGCTGCCCTATTCTCGCAGCATGTGGATGGGGCAAAGGAACAGGGCACCAGCACACAGGTAAGAGAATTGAGATGCCATTGAGTTACCCAACATCTGCTTCCAATTATAGATGAAGGCCAGGCAAACAATGGGCAAAGCTGGTAGCACAAAGGTGACAGTGCAAATCTCGGCAAGTTCTCCCATGTTTTTTTTTTTTTTTTTTTTTTTTTTTTTTTTTTTTTTTTGTTTTGTTTTTTTGCTTCTTTTCTGCCTAAACTGTGTCACAGAACAACATATATGCTGACAGAATGCATAGCTCTATATAAAGCCTGCAATTTTTCTTGGACTATGGCCAGGATATAACACTTTATGTATTTTACAAAATCTGCATTTTATTACTTTTTTTTTATTGTGCTTGCACCCAGACTGAAAGGGCTTGTACTGAAAATGTAGAATGAGATGATGGCAAACAAACACTTATGTAACCTTTCTAATATTACGAATATCTGAGAAGAAAGTGAAACGCACTGGTAATCCCATAAATCCAGTTTAGCATCAATATATATTCAAAAAGAGGACTCACATAAAAGCTACAAATTCAACTTATATGTATTCTCACAGCAAATTTCCAGTAGATGTTTTTGGAAACAAACAAACAAATGAAGTGCTTTAGGAAGCTGTTTCTTCTATGTGTTCTTGTTTTGTCTCACAATATACTTACTTATCTCTTTTACATCTAGGTCTTGAAAGTTTGGATCCAAAAAACCCCTTTCAGAGTGTTCAACTGGCAGTTTATTTGAAGCTGCTGCCTTATTGCTGCCTGACACTGATGATTAGGCTCAGATTAGACCATTCTCCAACTGCCATACAGAAGAAACTTATCTTGGTATGAGCATTCTAAGATCATGGCTATATTTTGCAAAGTGTAGGCTATAGCATGCATTGTACTGCTGTATAACTCAAAATTTCTGTCTTACAGAAATGATTGACTTGATGCTATGGGAAATATAGTTTCAATACAGAACTGAATTATCTGCCCACAGAACTGTGAGGATTTGTGTCTGCTGTCAGAAGAATCAACGTTACCTACAAATGTGTCTGGAAGGTCAAGGGTATGAAGGTAGTGCATGAGTTAGTCCTGCCTAATGCATTCTGATAGCTATTGCTTACTTGCAGGGAATTGCCTTCTACCTTTTCCTTGATGGACATGCGAAACCTTTTTTTTTAGAAGCAGGTGAGTCACTTTTCAAAACCAAACCCCTGATTCTCCTTTCACCATGCGCATTAATAAAGCAACCTGCCATTCTTCTGTAAAATGTCTACAGAATGTCTTGTGCTTCTGGGTAACAAATTAAATATTATTTATGATACCAAAAAAAAATTATTATAATTTACAGTACATAAATGTGTCATGGCAGCAATCTTTAAGAATGCCAGGTACCATGTCAGAAAACAGAGATATCTCAATTACTTCTTTATTTTGATTACATGCATACACTGAAACAGATGAAATATTACTATGGAACCAAGTAATAAAAAAGTGTCAGCAAAATTGTCCTCTTTAATGCATGCAGATTAGATTTATTGGTGGTAAATGCAGAGTTTTTAGTTGTAACTGCTACTTGTCATTGAAAAATTTATTTTCCTTTTAAGATAACTGAATTCCTGGACTGAATGATAAATTGTAAAGCATGCTTTCAGAGCTATAAATAAAATCAAAATACCTGCATTTTTATCTTCACTGTTATTTAATTATAAAATTCTACAATAAAAATCTCATGAGATGAGATAAAATGCAAAGAGATGAGAGACCTTAAATAGGAACTGTTTACTGCACAAGAAACATTACTGGGAACAAATTTGTAAGCTTCTTACTCAACTTGCTATTGGCAATGTTTTCCTGCAGCTGATCCGAGTTTTAGGTTGTGCCCGAGGCTATGTGTCATTTCTGCTTCAGTTCTCAGGTGATTACAGTGGTGCTGTACCTAGTCTGACCACTGTCTTGGACATAGGTGATACCACAGGATGCTGTTGGTTTGTTGATACAACAGCAATGATGGAATAATGTCATCAAATTGTGTTAGAGATAGGAATTTGTCATAGTAAAAGTGTTCTTCTGCTACTTACACTTTAAAAGAAATCATTATACACAACATTCTCTACCAAGAAAGGGTGAGGGACAATGAAACATATATAGACACATTTCAAATTCACTGTTCAGATTTCAAATTCACAGTCTAGAAACCCTCTAGATCTATTTCCATCTGGCCTCTAGATCCTCTAGATCTCTAAGGCTAGAGGAGGGATGTTTTCAGACTCCTAACTTAGGAAGTATTTTGTGTGTGGACTTAACCAAACACCTTCTGAATCCTGGTAACTCAATGGTTTTTCACGTTTTCCTTCTGTGTTCACATGGCACAACCCTACAGCAGCATTCCATCTCCCACCACCACAAGCCGCCAGCACAGTTGGATGCCTCTAGGCTGAGATAAAGCCCCGAAGTGCTGACCCCTCCTGCTCAGTCCAGTGCCCTCCATTTCGGGAGATCCACTCCATCACTATAAGCATCAGTTTATCAAATTTGTAAATAAAAGGGCTCAATTTATATGCACCTCCTAGAGACAGGCCTCTTCCCGTTCTTATGCAGACCACATAAAGTGATGAGGTTAAGAATTTAGGCTGGAAATAGCATGTCTACAATTTTGGAGGGGGATAACAAACAGGGTCCTTGTGCAAATAAAAAAACCTCACTTACATCTTCATGTTTTTTACCTGATGTCAAACTGTATAAATCTCAAATGTTAGTTTCTTCATTTCTGAAACATTTTTATGTATTTGCTGTACAAATTGTTTAGCTCTTCTTCCTTCCAAATGATGTCTATAAGAGGAATAAATCCAACTAAATATTAGTTACCCTGAACGAAACTGCAGGATCTTTCCTGGCTAAATTAGTAGGATTTAGACCTGATATTCTCTACCAAGAAGGAAAGACGATACTG